GCAAGAAGAAGATGATGGATGTAAAGAAATCTTTATCTCGGGGGTTTGTGATGGCAAAGGAATTAATAAAAAAAAAAACAAAAAAAAATAAAAATAAAAATAAAAATAAAAATAAAAAAGAAAAAGAAAAAGAAGAAAAAGAAGAAAAAGAAGAAAATAAAAATAAAAAAAATGCATTCAAAAACAGGAAAGGTAATGCATGTATACATAAATTAAAAAAATAAAAAAAAAAATAAAATAAATAAAATAAAATAAATAAAATAAATAATATAAATATAAATAAGATAGATAAGATAAATAAAATAAAATAAATAAAAAAAATAAAATAAATAAATAAAATAAATAAAATAAATAAAATAAATAAAATAGATTAAAAAAATAATAAAAATAATATAAATATTATAAATAACATAAATATTATAAATAAAATAAATAAAATAAATAGTATAAATAAAATAAAATAAATAAATAAATAAATACAATAAACAAAGAAAACAGAAAAAGGAGACAAAAAAACAAAAAAAAAAAAAATATATTTTTGTAGTTGTTGTTCTTTTGTTTATACTAAAAGGAAAAAAAAAAAATAAATAAATAAATAAATAAATAAATAAATAAATAAATAAATAAATAAATAAATAAATAAATAGATAAATAAATAAATAAATAAATAAACAAGTAAATAAATAAATAAATAAACAAGTAAATAAATAAATAAATAAATAAATAAATAAATAAATAAATAAATATTTATTTTGTTTTTGTTTTATTTAATACAGCTTCTTCTTTATTTACATCTTCCCTATTTGGGTATAGCAGCAGCATGAGCCCCTCTGAACCGCAGCAGCAGCAGCAGCAGCAGCAGCAGGAGGAGCAGCAGCAGCAGCAGCAGGAGCAGCAGCAGCAGCAGCAGCAGCTGCAGCAGCAGCTGCAGCAGCTAGTTGGTGTTGACCCTTCTCCTGAATTATATGAAGCTTTCAGGTTATTGATAGAAGGGGGAGAAAGAGAAGTAGATATAGCAGAGGTACTGCATAAACCGGGATCCAATGTGTGGGGTCTGGGCCCCCGGGGGCCCCGGGGGCCCTGGGGGCCCCGGGGGCCAGTGTGTGGGGTCTGGGATCCACGATCCCAGCCCCAACACAGCCGCATAGATGGGGGCCCCGGGGGGCCCCTGGGGGCACCACCGGGGGGGCCCCCAGGGGGGCCCCCGGGGGGGCCCCCGGGGGGGCCCCCGGGGGGGCCCCC